TCTTCTTTGCATCAATTATCATCTATTTTTCCTTGAAACAATACTATTTTTCCTTGAAACAATAATTGGTTTTCTTCAATTTTTGGATAAATTTTGTGAAATCTACTGGACAGAATTGTTCTGAAAAATATAACAGATATAAATTAAGTATATTATATATTAAGAAAATTTATACACAATGAGAAAACTAAGGAAATACTTACATTCTAATTTTCATGATATTTTGTTTGTATATTTCTGAATGTAAATTAAAACTTCATTACAAATTTCCTTTGAATGAAAAGTCATAATCTCAGAAAATAGCTTTTCTATATTTACAGGAGATGGACATCCACTATTTAATAATACTTTTTCTAAGACTTTAAAATAATTTTTCTCAATAAATTTTTCCAAAGCCGTCAGTTGGTGTAGTTCAAATCGCTGATACACAATTTCTTCAATTGTTTTAATAACACCTAATTTAATATATTGCAAAGGTAAAAATGTTATTTCCCTTGCACTTTCTTTCACACAGCGATTTAATTGCTTCAAAGCTTTAAAAGTTTCAAATTTCAGAGAAAATGAGTGTATTGAATCTAATTCTTCTTCTTCTTGTGAATTTCTAATTAACACAAAGCGATGATTTAAATAGCTGACAAAATTCAGATGGAATGTGTCACAGTTGATTTCATGAGGTTCAGATTTATTATCAAAAAATACCTCAATTTCTGAATAAAAAGTGGTAAAAAATTTCCATTCTAGTACTGAGAATGAGACTGATGTTTGTGGGTGGCTGCTTATTAACTTAATTTTTATGGATAAATTGCTCTTTAATTCAGCTCCAATAATTACTTGTTTTGTAAACGATGAATTTAAGTTATATGTGGTTGAAAGAAGTAGTTGATTACGAGGAAGATATGTCATTTTTATTATTCTGCTTTAGACACAAATTCAAAGTAATTATATTTTCCACCCAAAAATTTTAATTGTAATTCTCCTTTTTCTGCTGCTTGTTGTAAGTGAGTCAATGATTCATCATTACTTTCCAGAACCTTTACCATTCTTTGTGGTAAAAATACAACGTATTCACTATTGATTTCAGCCACAATTTTCAAGCCAAATTTTGTTGTCGTTTGCTTAATATCTGTAATATTATAATATTCATTAAGATTTAATTCACTCAATTTTTTGATAGGTAAAAAGCTAGCAGCTCTGTTTAATTTCTTTAATTTTCCATCCATTTTCTTCACTTTCTTATCAACCACACTGTATTATTTAAAGCTGTTTTTTCTTACACTGACAACAGTTTCTAGATTTTTTAACGCAAACACTCAGTTACAACTTCTCAGTACAGATCAATTACCGAAGACTTTATGGAAACTGGTAGCTAACTCTCACATTTTATACTCTTAAGCTTCATTCGCTGTCTCTTTTAAATAATACATTTCTTCCTTCTTTATTTATATAGATAAGTTTGCAAAATTAAAATTAGATTTCTTAATAAATATATATACCTATCTTTGTCTACCTTGGGGAATGATGAAGACACTAAATAACATATGTTCCTTTATATGTACACTTATGAATAATATAATGTGCTGACATGTATCATGTTACACTTCGGATGACTCCTCTCTGAAATGTACATGACTATTTTTATCATCTATGCAATAATTACTAATAACATTAACAGGTGATGCTTCCACATTCTTATTAATAGACAGCTGATTAATTTTCTATTAAATAATTAAACAATTTATTTGAAAAAATTTTCTACTTACCGTAAAAGCTTAAGATATAATAAAACAGTATGTTAAAGTATACATAATAAATATACTTATTCGTTTCTCAGTTTTGAAAAAAATTTACAAATTTTTTGAATAAGTTTTTTTTTGGAAAAATTTTTAGAAGAAATTGCTCTTCTCTTCTTTAGAAGTTTCTCGAATAGAATGGATTAGAACCATTTTTTTATTTCAAATGTCGGTAAATGTCGGTAAAGGAATCTGTATCCAGAACCGGCCCTATATATCTACTAAGACTGAAGTATTCCAGCGCCATAAGTTATTGAGTATTGGCTATTACATAAAATGCAGCTACGATGAATCGTTATGTAAATATGTACCGTGCCCGAAAAATGAATCTGATCCTGCTAAATGGTTTACTGAGGAATTAAGGCAATTATCTGAAAAAATTGATAATGTATTTAAAAATCCGATACCAATGAATGCCTTAACTCCTCAAGAAATTAGTGATTTCAAGCGAGCGACAATATGTCACATTTGTCATGAGAAAATACCGGCAAGCGAAAAGAAAGTCCGCGATCACTGTCACCTTACTGGCAAATATAGGGGTGCTGCCCATGAATCATGCAATCTAAACTACCAAGATTGTCAGACAATTCCCGTGGTGTTCCACAATTTAAGTGGCTATGACGCCCATTTTATAATTCATGCGATCTCGACGAGCTTTGAAGGAAAAATTGACCTCCTCCCCATTAACAAAGAGAAATATATCTCTTTTACTAAACACGTCAAGGGGAGTGAGGTCAAATTTCGATTCATTGACTCATTGCGATTCATGGCAGCATCCCTAGAAAAACTCGCATCGTACTTAGACGAGTATAAAATTGTAAACTCTGTTTTTGCCAGTACGGTGACAGATCCGGATAAAATAAAATTGCTAACGCGTAAAGGTGTGTTCCCTTACGAGTACTTTGACTCAAAAAGCAAGCTCGACGAAACCGAATTACCCCCGATAGAGAAATTTTATAGTACGCTTTATGATGCCGGTATTTCTGATGATGAGTATGCGCATGCGCAGAATGTATGGACCGAGTTTAACTGTCAGAATCTCTACGACTATGTACATTTATACATGAAAACAGATGTATTGTTACTTGCGGATGTCTTTGAAAATTTTCGAAAAGAATGTGTTAAAGCGTACGGGTTAGATCCTGCTCACTATTATACGACCCCCGGTTTAACTTGGGATGCTATGCTCAAGTACACGAAAATAGGATTGCAACTAATAACCGATATCGATATGATTATGTTTGTTGAGTCTGGTATTAGAGGTGGCATAAGTCAATGCTGCAACCGATATACTATAGCGAATAATAGATATATGGAAAATTTCGATGATAGCAAAGATACAAGCTACATCATGTACTTTGACGCCAACAATTTATATGGTTGGGCAATGGCTCAAGCGCTCCCTTATGGCGGCTTCAAATGGGTTGAAAATGTCGACAACTCTTTCAATTTTAATGTATCCATCCGACGATTCATCTGTTGGATACATACTCGAAGTTGACTTGGAGTATCCTGAAAATCTCCACGATACTCACAAAGACATGCCATTTTGCGCAGAAAATGCAAAACCACCTCTCTCGAAACAGGAGAAATTATTAACAACTCTCCAACCAAAAGAAAAATATGTGATCCACTACCGCACTTTAAAACAAGTTGTCGCTAACGGCATTAAGCTTGTTAAAATTCATCGAGTCTTACTGTTTAAGTAATCAACATGGCTTAAACCATACATAGACTATAATACAATGATGCGAACCAATGCCAAAAATGAGTTCGAGAAAAATTTGTTCAAGCTCATGAACAACGCTGTGTACGGCAAAACAATGGAAAATGTCCGTAAACATGTCGACATTAAACTTGTCACCCAATGGTTTGGCCGCTATGGAGCTGAAGCCCTAATCTCTCGCCCGAATTTCCATAGTCGAGCGATATTCAACGAAGATCTGGTTGCCATTGAACTGCGTAAAACCGAGGTACTACTCAACAAACCAATCTATGTGGGGTTAAGTGTGCTCGATGTTTCCAAAACGCTAATCTACGATTTTCACTACGGGTATATGTTAAAAAAATACGGCGACAATTGTAAACTGATGTATACCGATACAGACAGTCTAATCTACGAAATTAAATGTAAAGATGTCTACAATGACATGAAAAATGACATCCAAAAGTTCGATACGTCAGACTATCCCGCAAACAACGTGTACGGCATTCCGCAAGCCAACAAAAAGATTCTCGGTCTAATGAAAGACGAATGTAACGGCAAGATCGTTACCGAATTTGTTGGCTTGCGGAGTAAGATGTACAGCGTACGGGTTGAAGGTCAAGATTTTATTAAAAAAGCTAAAGGCATTAAATCCGGCGTTGTGAAAAAATCGATTCACTTTGATGATTATGTAAAATGTCTGCGAGATTTTGACATTCAAACTCGAACACAGTATAATATTAGATCACGATTACACAACCTTGAGACTGTAAAACAAATTAAAGTAGCTTTAAGACCGCAAGACGACAAACGGTATTTGTTACCGGGGAGTACCGACACTCTACCGTGGGGACATTATGCGATCCCTAAAATCGACGAATGATTTTGTAAAACATGATGGTAAAAAAATAAAAGGTTTGTTAATAAATAATGCAATTATATTCAATTTCCATATGTTTTTATTTAAAAAATCCTTCCATATATACATAATAACATATAATTAAAACTTATATTAATTTAAATGTGCAAATCGCCTCCAGTAACTTAACGCAAATGCCAATCAACCAGCAAAGCAATCAAAGATTAATGTTAGCGTAGAACCTCTCTATAAATCAAAATTACTTCCAACAACAGGCCTTCACAATGCCAGTGCCAACTGATTCATTGTTGATTCATTGTTGATTCATTATTGATTCATTATTGATTCATTAATGATTCATTGTTGATTCATTATTAATTCATTATTGATTCATTATTGATTCATTGTTGATTCATTATTGATTCATTATTGATTCATTGTTGATTCATTATTGATTCATTGTTGATTCATTATTGATTCATTATTGATTTAATGTTAATTAAATTTGGCACTGGCAGTGTAAAGGTCTGTTGTTGGAAGCAGTTTTGATTTATAGAGAGGTTCTACGCTAACATTAATCTTTGATTGATTTGCTGGTTGATTGACATTTGCGTTAAGTTACTGGGGACGATTTGCGAATAATAGATTATACATTTGCTTTATCTTCCCACGTATTGTGAGAATTATCAAAGCCAAGCCATTTGACAAGAACTTTGTTTCCACGTGTCCTGAGAATTTTTTCCACAAGATAAATATCTGAATATTTTACTTTAAGAAGTTCCTCTTCATAAAATCCTCCGCTGATGGGTTGATCCTGGTAATCCTTGAGCTTGTAAGTCACTGGTTGAGTTGATACAACTTGATCCACGGTGAATATTTTTGTTGTCCAATTGGGTGTATATCCTTTCTCGAAAACGTTTTTATATTTGCTTCCTCGAACTTTGTCACCAATTTTATACTTTGGTCGTCTTAAAGGAATTTTTCTCAGTTTAGAGATCCTTTCTTTTAAAATTTCAACGTCTTCTAAAGTAACATCTTTAGGCTTCATTCCAATTGTTCTATGTTTTGTATTATTGTAGTTGGAAATAAGAGTAGGCAATATATCATACCACTTGTAATTTCCTCGTAAACTAAATTACATCCACATTTTTCTTTTTAGTGTTCGATTGAACCGTTCAACAATAGAAGCCTTCATATTACTGTATGTTGAGTAAAAATTTATTTTATGCTTTTTCATTAATGCTTCAAATTGTGAATTATAGAATTCTTTTCCTTTGTCACTATGCAAGTTTTTTGATATGCGTTTTTTAGCAAACATAGATTGCATTGCATGAGAAACATCTTTTCCATTTTTACTTTTTACTGGAACAGCCCAAGCATACTTTGAAATTATGTCTATAACTGTTAGTAAATACTTGAAACCTTTATTTATTCTTGAGTAAGGTATCATCTCTACTAAATCTGCTTGCCATGTCTCATCAATATCACGCATTTCAACTCGCCGTCGAGGATAATTTTTTCTAGCCTGAGTATGAAGTTCATTCACTACTGTTAATTTTTTGTTGTTCATTCAAAAGAGCACATAAGCGAGTATCCAATTCACTAATAATTTCAGCTGTTCGATAAGATAAGTCTGGATTTATATCTTTTTCAAAATTTTTTATTTTTTCTGTAATCGAGTCTTCAAGAACTTTTAGAAATAAGTTGTTATTGTCCACCTCTGATCTAAGTGAGGCACTAGCTTCATACAATAAACGCACTTCGTGTTTTATCATATGTCGTACAAGTTTTAAATTGACAGCGTCGTTTTCTTCTTCAGCGTTAGCAAGATTAGAGAGTTTTCTTCCTTCAACGTCAAAGTTACCTTGAGAATTAAGTTTAAAACCAACTCCAGGAGGCCCTCGTCTTGCTGTTCCTCTTTGATTGAGAGGATGTCCGAACACGTCAATGCTCATTGTTGAAATGAATGATATTTGCTAAAACACATCTTAATATATCATTTTAGCTTCACGTAGTTCCTCAATGATAGACATGATTTCATTATTGTGACTAGGATTTCCAGCAGCTTGAGAAGCCATTAATAGTCTAAGACGGTCAACCAACTCATTTGGATCATCCCAATAGATATATTCTCGTTGAAAATTTCTGTTTGTAATCATAAATTTAGGTAATGAACTACCGCTTACAGATGGCTGTTTGGTAGGTGTTCGAGGGAAGAATTGAGATATAAAATTCAAATACTTGTAACTCTTATCCGTGCGTATAGATTCAAAGGAACTATACTTCTTTTTGTGTGCATTAGTAGCAATCAGAATCTCTTTATAGTTTCTTTCATCATCTTCACGTATAAACGATCTCGTAGGTTTACTTTTGAATAAAAGTTCAAGTAATCCAAGCGTTTGAAGATATCGTTTATTACCAATTTTTACATGCTGATCTTCAAGAGTTATTAGTGAATCACCAATCATAAGTGACCCATCACTTAGCTTACGTACGCCGTATGTTGAATCTAAACATTGCTTTCTATTATGATTTAATAAGTATAGAAATTTATTACTTATTTTATCATCATCTGCAGATTTTTCAGTTTCACTTTCATAGTTTATGCTATCATCTATCTTCTGCTCTTTCTTTTCAACCTTAACATTTTCATATTCAGTGTCTGTCAAGTTAATAATTTTTTGTAAGGGTTGAACTATCGGTTTAAAAGTTTCAGTCAGCACATTTTCAGCATCTTCTTTTCCTAATTTTAACATACGATGTTTTCGCCTAATTGCCTCACTAGCTTTAGCAATTTGATGAAGATATTCTTTTTCTTTATGAAACATGTTATTATTACAAGGTTTCATATTGAACTAACAATATTTTAGGAATGATCTTATATTTATAGTGTTACAAAGCTGTCAAATCCTTTTCTATACCTTCCATCATTTAAATCAGAATCCTTATCAATTACTACAAATCCATATTTGTCTGAATTCCAACATGTTGAACATAGTTCTCGAAATTGATTAAATGTCATGTCAGTATTAACATGATCATCATAAACATGCCTTAAATTTTTCTCATCTTGACGAAAAAGAACTAGTAAATTAACATTATCACGTACTAAATGTTTAGGAACGCGGGCATATGTTTGACAAAGATAAAAAGAATCAACATCAACATGTCTACCCATGCAAAAAAATGCCCTTACATTATCTTGCTTCTCACAAGCAATATCATCAAATATAAATATTGAATTCCGTTTTGCATCTTTAGGAGTAATGACTTCTTCATGCTCACTAAATGGTAAATACTCTACTCCTTCAACATTACTTACAACTTGTTCCAAGAATTTATACTTGGGTTGATGTAAAGACTTTGAGTATAAGTAAATATTATCAAATCTAAGACCATTAGGATGTAAAATTAAAGAAAGGAGTACATTTGTCTTTCCACAATTTGATGGTCCACAAAAAATAGCTCGAATACTACCTGATAACAAGCTACCATGACGCTTCACTGTCTTCTCTTGTTGTTCAACAATCGAGTCTAGATTGACGACTGGCAGCTTGTGAAGTTGTTCCTTGAACCGCATCCTGATTTAGACTGCCGCTAAAGGTATAAATACAGCGCTTATATAGCTCACAAGTCATTCTAATTTTAACTTTCACAGAGTAAGGTATGATTATACATCATCGCTCTCGAGGAAAAGGTTTAATTAATAAACTTATAAACAAGTTACCATTTGAATTACATTTGCCAGGTTATCAATATTGTGGACCAGGTACAAAGTTAGCAAAACGTCTAGACAGAGGTGATCCAGGTGTTAATCCATTAGACGCCGCTTGTAAAGAGCACGATATTGCTTACTCGAAAAATCGAGAAAACGTTGAAGAAAGAAACGCTGCTGATAGAGTATTAGCTGACAAAGCGTGGCAACGTGTATTTGCTCCAGACGCACAATATAGTAAAAGAGCTGCAGCTTACGCAATAACAAACGCTATGAAAGCAAAATCAAAATTTGGAATGGGTTTAAAGAAGAAGAAGACAAAGTCAAAGAAACGAGTAAAGAAGATAAAATCAAAAAAACGAGTAAATCTTAGAAAAATTGTTGATGCTGCAAGAAAATCAATAATTCCTGGTAATGATGCTCGATCAACAAAAAGGCAGCTATTGAAACAGCTCGAAAAGCTGTAAGGAAATCAGGTGGTAGAGAAAAAGTTTTAACACCTCGTATTCTAACTGTCCCATCAAAAGTTGGTGGTCTGTTACCATTGATTCCCATTTTTGCTGGTCTAAGTGCACTTGGAGCGCTTACTGGGGGAGCTGCTGGTGTAGCAAAAGCTGTTAATGATACAAGTGCAGCAAAAGAGCAGTTGAAGGAAGCTCAGCGTCACAATAGAGAGTTAGAAGCAGTTGCACTTGGTAAAGGTCTACATTTAAAACCATACCGACAAGGTTTGGGACTTCATTTGAAAACATACGTTAAAGGACAAGGTATTAAGAGACAATGTACGAAAAAAAAAGTTTAAAGCTACCTCAGCGAGCACTTACTGATCTAGATTTACTTAAATATGCTAAAGAAATGAAAATTCCTCACTTTCAAGGTGTTTTCATGCGAAATGAATTACCTATAAGAGGTCCTCGAAAAAACGAATCAGCCATTATTAATTTAGATGATAAGGATGGTTCTGGAACTCATTGGGTTGCATATAAAAAAGTTAATAATAAAGCAGTATACTTTGATAGTTTTGGTAATCTTCAACCACCCTATGAACTTGTCAATTACTTAGGTTACAATACTTTAATACAGTATAATCATCAAAATTATCAAGATTATAATAGCTTTAATTGTGGTCATTTATGTCTAAAATTCTTATGTGGACAGCTTGAAATTACTAAAAAATATATTCTATATAAGTGATTGTAAGTCATTCCAGCTAATCAGTTTATAAAAAGTCATCAACATGGAAGAATCTTTTACTCTGACTATCTCAGGCAATTCATCTGTCCTGGAGGCAGAATATTTTCCTCCGATAGAATTATTATCTAATAAAAATTATGTACTTGGCTTAGTTGAATTACTAACCTTCAATTCAATTCCTAATATTGATCAAGGTAAAAATAAATTTTATATTGGTGATAAAGTGATTACTATACCCCCTGGAAGCTATGAAATTGAAGATATTGAAAAATATATTCAAAACTCTATTGAAAATGGATCTGAAATTGTAAGAATTAAACCTAACAATAATACTTTACGTAGTGAAATAACAAGCAGCCTTGAAGTGAGTTTTGAACAAAACGATTCAATTGGTAAATTATTAGGATTTACTCCACGAATATTGACAGCTAATAAGCCTCATACGTCAGATATACCAGTAGCTATTCTTAAGGTAAATGCTATCAGAATTGAATGTAACATTACTACTGGTGCATACATAAATAATAAAAAGGTACACACAATTCACGAATTTTTTCCAATTGTTCCAGCTGGACATAAGATTGTGGAAGTTCCATCCCACGTCATTTACCTTCCAATCGCCGTGAAGACAATACATAATATTCAAGTAAGAATCGTTGATCAAGACGGAGATTTAATAAATTTTAGAGGTGAAACTATAACAATTCGATTACACGTTAAAACAACGTAATGGGAATTGTATTTCATAGAAAAACTGGTGGAAGCTATATAAAAGAGTTGCCAGGTCAGAAGTCATTCATTCCTCAATCAGTTCGCAAGAGACTAACATCTCAGAACATACTATTTCTGAAGCAGCTCGGCCTAAGAGTTTATCAAGAAAACAAGGGAAAAAATTGATTTTTCACATACTTTTTATTTGTTGTTGTAACAAAAATGGAAGAAATTTTAAACATTCTAAGTCCAGTTAAATTTGATAATTCTGTGGCACACTATGAGATTCATGCACATCAACCATACGTGTCATCAGCATTTAATAACAGTGACGAGATTCGAATTGCAGTTCAACATCAAGACTTGTACATTCTTCCCTCTAAAAGTACTCTACACGTCACTGGCAGAATTGTTAAGCCAAACAATACGCTTGTAACTAATACAAAGTTAATTAGCAATGGTATTTCCTACCTGTTTAATGAGATTCGTTATGAATTAAATGGTGTTGAAATTGATCGCTCTAAAAATGTTGGTATTACAACCACAATGAAAAATCTAATTTCTCAAACACCTAATCAAATGATTTACTCTGAAAATGCTGGTTATCTACCTTATGATGATGATAGTAGAGTAACAAATGATGCTGGATATTTTGATGTAAATATTCCACTAAGTATGATTATTGGTTTTGCTGAAGACTATCGAAAGATTGTTGTAAATGCAAAACATGAACTTATTTTAACAAGATCTCGTACTGATCTCAATGCTGTAGTAAACATTGGAGCAGCTGAGCGTGAAGAATTTAAAATTATAATTAATAAAGTTGAATGGTTGATTCCATATTTAATGGTAAATGATCGCCAAAAAATTGA